TCGGGGAATCTGAAATTTCTTCCATGCTTTGCTCCCATTCCCCATTCAAGCAATGCCATTATATTCCCACCAAATTATGAGGAAGGAACTATTCCTTATTCCTATCAGCTCTGCTTATCCTCTGAGTCCAAGATACATGAAATTACTTTTCCAACTCCCAAAGTTCAAACTGCTGAATATATTTCATGCAACCAAAAATATGATGTGCTTTTGGCGAGCAATGCAACCAATATCCCAAATTCTGAGATGGAGCAAACTAATTTGGTGAGTTTTTTTTATTAGTACTGACTTTGTAGTCTAACTGTCCTTTAAAAGATTCTCAATAAATGTTTGATTCTGTGATTTTGTATATACTTTTTACTTTATAGTATCAGTTCCTTCACCTGTTATTTCCTCATTGGTTATTGTACTGAAGAACCTCTACAGTTGTAATAGTTTCTAGCATGCCTTTCATAAATGAGTGTTATTTCATAATTAGACTTTGGATCAATCATAGTATCCTTCCAATAGAAAATATATTATTTGCTACTTTGTATGCATACTTGTGTGCATATATGTATAAGATAGTTAAGAAAGTCAAACTTTTATGTGAAACTCAAATCACCGTAGTTTTGTGGGTTTTTTAAATAGAAGTTTCAAGTTTAGTGAAAGGAAAGTTTAAATAACATGTGAGTGCCTTGAATGAAAAGCAAATTAAATGAGAAAAAATAACATTCAAATATGAATAATGAATGATAGATATGTTATGCTTCTCCAGTAGCTGTTGCTGCAATAATAGCAGTACTGTAGTCATTTGCAGAAAACATTTCAGGTATTCCGATCAGTACATATAAATTATTTAGTAGATATAATGTGGACCAACAGCATATGTCGCTATTTAGTTATAAACTTTTTTTACTAAAAAGAAGCATATAAATATGGTTTTACATTTTATCAAATGCACAGACCAGGTTATTACCTGTCTCAAATCACCTCTGCACTGAACAAATTAATGTACCATGGTTACATTTGAAGTATGAACTAATTATTTTGACCACTGTGGAAGGAGCACTATTGTAAATTAAGTGGTGAAAAAGCAAATTAGAGCTGTTCCTAAAAATCTACTCTCACTTTCAAATCGTATATAAGAGCGCAAAACACAACTTTTTAAAAGCAATTCTCTTCTATCCTTACTTCCTAATTTATAATACATTTCTTGATGAAGTTGTGAAAGCCACTTACAATTTAAAGTTAAAAAGGAAAAACAGAAAAATGCCAATAACATGCGCCACCAGTTCACTGTTTCATTCCCGTGAAGTAACAAATTACTTTTACAGCCAAAGAAGTCTAATAAGCCCCAGACTTACATATAGCAACAAAGTACAAATTGCAACCATAATGAATGGAATTTGATCATTTATGTTGCATGCTAAAACATAATAAAATCATAGTTATTCCCTTTTTCAACTGGTAGCTTTATTTCAAATAAAACGTCTTTGTGTCTTGTATTTGCTGCAATTGCTAGAAATGTAATCATTTTTGGAATATTCTTTTTTATTTAATATAATTTATATCACTTTCTCACGGACATACCTTGAAGCAATATCACAGTTGAAATGAGAAAAACTATTCTGGAATTTCTTTCCCAAAAGACAAATTTATATATGTGAAAATGGAACATAAACATATTGCAGGTTATATCACTACTTAATTGAACTGCTTTTTAAGCTGACAGATATATTCCACTTAGTCAAGACATTAGAAACCTATGCTCACGCCTCCCTGTTTATACCAATACAACCTTGAATGAAACAATCAAGGATGTGCTATTCAGTACTTGCCTATTAATTGCCCATAGTTATGAACCAGAGGGTCTTTTCTCACTGCTAAGCCAGAGTCCTCTCTTGTATCTTTCAATCTACAGAAAGCTGGTTTGAAATTTGCTGTTTCCATTACAAGTTATATCCTGCTTCTATTGAGTCACTGTAATAACTTGATCATTTGTGTCCACATGGTGACGGCCAAATAGAAACTACGGAATATATACTTCCCCATTGCACATACTAAAGAGATATCTATATCTCATTCATTGACCCCATTACTCCTAAGGGTACCAGGCCATACAAATCCATACTATATTAATTTATTAGTTTTGAATAATGGACTATTACTAGTAATGTAGACAAATTCTTTGCAACGGCATATAAAATACGGCCAGAATTAATATATAGTAAGTGTTAATTGAGCTAGAAATATCCTATATTTATAATTTAATCTCAGTACTTAATGTTATTATTGTAATATTATCATTGTAAGTTATGTTTACTAACACATTTTTTTAACTGGATTAGTTACCATCCCAGTATCTCAAGAGTTCAAGTTAGTTTGCTTATTTTAAGCTAATTAAACAAGTCAGTAAATTTAACATCAGCTGGTTGATTTTAGAATTATAGTTCTTTATTGATAGTTTTAACTCTATAGATTTTCTTCTGTTATTTTACATAAATTCAGACCTGCTTGTAATTTTTAATTTACTGTACAGATTAAGATCATGATATAAACACATTTAAGGCTACTAAAATCTAGTATTATAGATACAAAATTGCTGGATTACTTTTGTATTGTCTATTTTACACATTATGCTAGACAAAGAAATGCATAGACAGAACTGACTAATCACTTGATTTTCCTCCAAGGCAATGGGAAATAAAAAGATTCTGTAGGCTTTGATTTTCCTCTTGGATAGGATAGGACTAAGGGAAGAATTACTTTAACATCCAACTTCAATATTCTACTGGTATCTTAACACTGGTATTGCTATCTACAAGTTTGATTTACTTGTGGTCTGGGACACGGTTGGAACAAGCTGTTGCCAGAGCATGTTTGTACAGTAGTTAGGCAAGCTTAGGAAAATCAGCCTTTATAGTATGTCAAACATGCTTGCAAACTGATGAATGCAACTAGGCCTCAAAAGATTCTGCATATCAATTCTTTACGTATATTCCCTGAAAATGTTGGTTTGGGGTTTGCTCCACTGAAGATATTGATACCCCTGGAGACTCGGCAGCAGCCTGTAGTCTTTCTCCCTTTCTAAAACTACATGGAGCCTGTTTCTTCAGGCATCTTGCGTTTTTGCAGCCATATTTTCTCTACAAAGCCAGTAGAAAGCATAGTATTCTGGGTTGTTTGGACAGTATAGAGAGGGCAAAAAAGGCCTCATTCCACCAACCTAAGAGGGAACATCTGTCCCAAAGCTCTATATACTGTCACCAGCAATCAGCTGTGGTCTAGATAGATAAGTATTTCCTGAGCAACTACAAGATGCTTGGACATCAATTCCTATAATTCCCCAGCAAGACAACACCTTAAAGTTGTTGAGATTGGGAAACACCAATCTAGAATGCAGCTAAAAGCATTGGAGAGGAGCTGACTGCTGCTTTGTACCTGCAATACTTATCACTTTTGAATGGGCAGGTGGTTTCTGACTTTGCAAGGACAAAAACCAAAAGCACCTTCCTCCCAACTCTTTTCCAAAGAAAAAATTACAAACATACCCTGCCTATCACTGCAAAGTTGCTGTTAAAAAAAACACTTCTATTGTAGATGGATGCCTTTTTTCATTCAAAAAACTGCATAGTTATAGTATATGTTAGATCCTACCTAGTGGCAATGAGGGTGGCGAGGTCTAATTACTACTCCACCCTCATTGCGTCATCAGATAATCGCCCGGCCACCCTCTTCAGGGTGACCCGCTCTCTCCTTCAGTTGAGGGGGGGGACCCCCTGGTGGGGAGGGCTGAGGATTTTGCTCAATATCTGTATGACAAAGTTGCTCGGATTCGAGAGGGTTTAGACTCTGACTGGGTGGCCCCGGGGGAGGAGATGGGAGCAGGTCTTGAGACTATTATATGGGAGGAGTTTGACTCTGTGGCTCCCGAGGACGTGGACAGGATCCTGGGGAGGCTGAATGCAACCACATGTTTACTGGATTCGTGCCCCTCCTGGCTGGTATTGGTGGCCCGGGAGGGTACACGAGCCTGGCTCCAGGGAATTATAAACGCTTCTTTACGGGAGGGTGTCTTCCCCGTAGCCTTAAAGGAGGCGGTGGTAAGGCCCCTCCTTAAGAAGCCTTCCCTGGACCCAAATGTATTGGCTAACTATCACCCGGTCTCCAACCTTCGCTTTGTGGCGAAGGTTGTTGAGAGTGTGGTTGCGCAGCAATTCCCTCGGCACCTGGAGGAAACAGTCTATCTGGACCCGCTCCAGTCGGGCTTCAGGCCGGGATACAGCATGGAAACGGCATTGGTCACGTTGGTGAATGATCTCTGGAGGGCCCGGGACAGGGGTTATTCCTCTGTCCTAGTTCTTTTGGACCTCTCAGCGGCTTTTGATACCGTGGACCACGGTATCATGCTGCGGCGTCTGGGGGAGTTGGGAGTGGGAGGCACTGTTATGCGGTGGTTCTCCTCCTTCCTCACCGACCGTACGCAG